GACGCTATCGAAAGAGCTTGCAGCATGAAAGAGGAATTATTATCACAAATAGAAATTCTTGGCGACCGATTGCCGCCGAATACGCTAGATCAATTGATAGATGAGCTCGGTGGACCAGAAAATGTCGCGGAAATGACTGGTAGAAAGGGTCGCGTCGTGCAAAGGGAAGATGGTGGAATAGAATACGAGTCTAGGTCAGAGGTGGATGTTCCTTTAGAAACTCTTAACTTGACGGAGAAACAGAGGTATCAGTAAAATTTGTTATATAATTATTTTATTCACAGATTAGAATTATATAGTGTTTTCTATAATCACAATTTATATCAATCCTTTGAGTTGAATATCGGCATTCTATCGCATATCTTTGTATGCATCAGGTTTATGGACGGAGAGAAAACTGTAGCGATAATCTCCGAAGCAGCTAGTAGCGGTATATCATTACAAAGCGACAGGCGAGCTAGAAATCAAATGCGACGTGTGCATATCACGCTCGAGTTACCGTGGAGTGCGGACAGAGCGATACAGCAATTCGGACGAACGCATCGATCGAATCAGGTCAATGCGCCGGAGTATATATTTCTTATATCTGATTTGGCCGGAGAGAGGCGATTCGCTTCGATCGTCGCGAAACGTCTGGAAAGTTTGGGTGCATTAACGCACGGTGATCGTCGCGCGACTGAAACCCGAGATCTCTCGCAATTCAATATCGACAACAAGTACGGTCGTTCGGCTCTAGAAGCGACGATGAAAACTATAATGGGGTTTGTGTCAATTAAAAATATATTTAAAAAATATTCCGTGTGGAATATAGGCACTTAATTCGACTTGATAATTTCAGATACGAACCGCCGTTAGTACCACCACCTCAGGATTATCAAGGTGATTTTTTTAAAGATGTGGCGGATGCACTTGTAGGTGTCGGTTTGATTTGCAATAGCGAGAATACGCCCGGTGTGCTCACGCTCGATAAGGATTACAACAATATGTCAAAGTTCCTGAATCGTATACTTGGGATGCCAGTCGATCTGCAAAATCGTCTGTTCAAATACTTCACCGACACGCTCAACGCCATTATAACTCAGGCCAAGAAGACTGGTCGTTTCGATATGGGTATTCTTGACCTTGGTACATCAGGCGAGAACGTTCGCAGGGTGCGTCTTTATCGGTTTCTGCGGAAACACGCGACCGGTAAAGCACCAACGGAACTACACGTGGTCCATGTCGAGCGCGGTATGAGTTGGTCCGAGGTCACAGACAAGTTCTCGGAAATGACTGGAACTAAGGAGGGTTTCTATCTGAGTCATCAGATCCGTAATGGTAAACAGACGGCCATTCTCGCGGCCGTGGTGGACAGTGGCAAGAAAAAGTCCGAAAGCAAGAAGGATCAGCTTTATATGGTGTACAGGTACAGTCATTTAAAATACCATTGTATATCCACGATTTATCGCAAACATATGTATCATAATCTTTGATGTTGAAAATTAATGATTGCATTGTCAGGCCCAACACAGGTCTGCAGCTACGACAAGAGACTCTAGGCGAATTAGAGAAGAAGTACAAGAAAGTAAGCGCAGATGAAGCGGAGCCACATTGGACACAACAGTATGAGGCTTCTGTGAACACATGTTCGCATGCGTATTGGAGTGGTAATTGTAAAAATACCACTCTTGGCATAGATTGCGAAGTGGGGCTGAGAAGACGTTCCTATAATGTATTAGCTGGTTCAGTTCTGAGTGTTTGGAGCCGTGTTGAGAATGTGCTCGCTACACGATCCGGACATAACTCTAAGATGCAAGTTATACGGTTACGTACGGGTAAGTTGAGTTTGAGAATGACTATTCAATGTTTCGATTAATGTTTCAATAAGATCTGAAACCGTTTAACAATTTTCCATTGTTGTCCGTGACAGATGAAGGATTGAAGATTGTCGGGACGCTGATCCCAAAGTCTTGCATGGAGTCGTTACGTCAAGCGCTCTCCTCTGACGCAGAGAAGACAGAGGAACAGACATTTTGAACGCCGAGTCTCTCATCAAGGGTAAGATTATCCTCTCCGAGATAATCTCCGCAAGTTAATAAAAAATTACTTTATTGTCATAGATATAAATAGGACCAAGCAAGACTCTCGATGTGACGTAGCATACTACGACTGTAAGAAGATTCTTCTTTTCTTAAATGTTTCGTCCAAATGCGAAAAGAGGAGTGAATTACGAATTCAGTCGTGATTGCGCGTGTTTGCATACATTACTTGCCTGGTACCGTTAAGATGTGTGGCGTACCAAGTACGACCAAGTAGATTTCGAATTGAATCTACTAATCAGCGTGATGAACATAAATAAACGCTTCCGATTAATTATCGACAAGGCTAAAATCACAATTTGCTGCTTATTTCTTTGTCATGTCTATGTAATCGTTCGCGAAAAATTCTAGCATTCTAGAATTCTAGCACTTGCCACATACCAACGTAGATTTTTAAATAAATAGTTGAATTCTTTCTTTTATCATCTATATATATACATATATATATATATATATATATATATATATATATGTATATATATAGATGATAAAAGAAAGAATTCAACTATTTATTTAAAAATCTACGTTGGTATGTGGCAAGTGCTAGAATTCTAGAATGCTAGAATTTTTCGCGAACGATTACATAGACATGCCAAAGAA